ATTAATAATATTAATGAATTTACTATTTCAAAGAATAATAAAATGAAATTAATTATCTATGTATTATGTAAATCCTTAATTACTCCTCTAATTAAGGAAATCAGTTACAACCTAACTGATAAGACAGATACTCTACGGTCATGATTTGTTCCTAAAATGTGTTTCAGTTGCATTTTATAATTAGATCCACATAATCATATGTATATACTTAATATGTATCTGAGATACATGTTTTTGAATATAATGTATGAAATTGATACTTGATACATCAAATTAATACTAGATATGTGAAATTAAAACTAGATCACATAAATAGATACATGAAATTAATACTTGACACATATAACAAATACACGAAATTAATACTAGATACTTATCTGATACATATGAATGTACTTGTATAATACTCATGTATCTAAGTATTTAGTTTGTTGGATACATCATATATTGATAATAGATACATCAAATTAATGAATTTATTATTTTAAGAGTAATAAATGAACTTAATCAAATTACATGACCAAGATATACATGCTTTTGTTTATTACTAATAATATAATGAATTTATTATTTCAAAGGATAATTTTGAAATTATAAATTGAAATTAATCAAATATAGATACACTCCTTGATTTCCGCCTTATAATAAGAGATTTGATTAATTTAAATTTTCAGAATTAATTATTCATGTATTATGTAAATCCTTAATTACTCCTCTAATTAAGGAAATCAGTTACAACCTATTAATTCAAACAAATAAAATATGTATCTCAGTTTAAAATTCGGTAGATACATGTATCTCCAGATCTAATCTCATGTATCCTAAGCATAAAAATATGGTAGAAGAAGTAATATTTGAAACTATCGGGAATCTTAGTAATTAGGACCTAAACTAGTGAGATTTATGTAGTTTGCCCTTAATTAATTATGGCTAATTAGTGAAGGAGAGTGATAATGAGGCCTAAAGTGCGACTTTCAAGTGGAAATGAAACGTTTTTGGAAAATGTAAAGGCAGGGGGGAAACCCTTCAAGTGTCTTTTCATCAAGTACAGGCTGCTCGTTACCCAAGAAAGGCTTTATTTATCTTAGTTACTCTCAAGTCTCAACATATCTTCTTCACTCTCTCTTTAAGCTTCAACTGCAGACTATTTTCCTAAGAGCAGCAAAAAAGGTATTAATTAAGTATTATACTATTTCCTCTTACTACTTCAGAAATATGATGTGATGATTTTTTTTCCCTTCAAAATCATATAGTCATAGTAATAAATATTTGTGTTATTTTAACACTATAGACTATCCATATCTTGCATTATATATACTTAATTAGTACTAGTTCCATAGTATATACTCTGTCATCTTAATATGTACTAGTCAATTTTTAGTGTTTGGTAAGTCAGCAGTAAATATTGTTCAAAGAAAGTCGGCATGAGTAAATATTGTTCAAAGACTCCGGGGGTAAGAGGTTAGGGTGTGTTGTGAATGCTACTCGTTGTCTCAATTTTCATTAGGAAAATCATTTTCTTCATTTTTAGTAACATATTTTGATCAACTAACATGCAAATATATTCTTCCATAGTCCATACCAAACACAAACTAACAGTGAAAGCCTCTACCTTTCTGTTGGTTATTGTATTTCTCTAATACCATGAAATTTTTCTTGTTTAGTATTAGTATTAAGTTATATGTATCATTAGTGTAAGAAGCTTTTTTTTGGATGACTTGATAGTGTACTGGCGACATATATGACTTGATCCAGCATCATATTAACCCTGATTTGAGCCCTTTTTATTTTAGGTGATTTGATTCAGCAAGATAAGATGGGTGGAAGTGCAATTTTAAGTGAGGATTGGGAATTCACCAACAATGAAGCTCGGACAGTGGTTCTAATTGGACGTACTGGTGATGGAAAGAGTTCGACTGGCAATAGCATTCTTGGGAAAAAGATATTTAGGTCAATGCCTCAATCTGCTGGAGTTACAGCTACTTGTGAGGTTCAAAGTACCCAATTGCCAAATGGACAAAGACTAGATGTGATCGACACGCCTGGTACCAAATCTATTTATGTGTTTGATTATTACAACTCATGGAAAGCTTTTATGTTTTAGTTTTTTTTTTTATAGAAAAAAATTTGATACTTCTTTGTGACATCGATTATTGGAAGTTAAGATTGTGGGAATTGCAGGTTTGTTTGATTTTTCAGATGATACAGAAATGATTGGAAATGAAATTGTTAAGTGCATTGATTTGGCTAAAGATGGCCTTCATGCTGTTCTATTAGTTCTTTCTGTAAGAACTCGCTTTTCAAGAGAACATCAAGCAGCTATCGAGAGTTTTCAACATTTTTTTGGTAACAAAATTAGTGACTACATGATTGTGGTATTCACTGGTGGAGATGATCTTGAAGACCAAGATGTGACTTTGGATGCTTACTTAGGCACCGACTGCCCTGAGCCTTTGCAGGTAAAATCACATCATGTAGAAATCTTATAATGTCTAAAGGCTTATTTTTGTTCCGTAGATAAATTATTTGGATTGTCATTACAGGAAGTGCTTGCTATATGTCAAAATAGGGTAGTGCTTTTCGACAATAGGACTAAAGACCCAATCAAGAAAGCAGATCAATTAAAAGAGCTTCTTTTCCAAGTGAATTTAGTTGTGGAAAAGAATGGTGGAACACCATATACGAACGATTTGTTCAAGGAATTCAAGGTTTGATCTTAATTACCACTTAATAATTAGTTCGATTCCGTTTGACATTATAGAATTAAATGGTTTAGAACCTTTTGTTGTCATCTTTGATCTCATTTAACGAGCTTTAAATTTTCATGATCAGAAGGAAAAGGTTGATTCTTCATTAGGACATTCTAAGGAAGACATAGATGGATTGAAGGACCAAGTGCAGAGATCTCATGAAGAGCAAATTAGACGAATAACTGAAATGGTAATTGTGATATCATTGTTAAGCTCCCTTTGCTTTCGTTACTAGAAAGAATTTCAAAATACATCGTGGTTATGGGCCTAACAATAACAAAAACTATGCCTCAACTTAAACAAATTTTGGCAGTCCATGTTGTACCGTTTTATGGAACAATGTTTATGTTTTTGACAGGTAGAGTCGAAGCTCAATGAGACCATACAAAGGCTAGATAAGCAATTAGAGGAGGAACGTTCTGCTAGGCTTGCGGCTGAACAAAAGCTAAGAAGCTCAAGAGAAATCAGAGAATGAGAGTCGTGAGCTGAAAGATCAACTTGAGAAGCGATTAGAGGAGGAACGTTCTGCTAGGCTTGCGGCTGAACAAAATGCTAAAAGAAGCTCAAGAGAAATCAGAGAATGAGAGTCGTGAGCTGAAAGATCAACTTGAGAAGCGATTAGAGAAGGAATGTTCTGCTAGGCTTGCGGCTGAACAAAATGCTAAAGAAGCTCAAGAGAAATCAGAGAATGAGAGTCGTGAGCTGAAAGATCAACTTGAGAGTTCCCGTAGAGAAATTAATGAGCTCCGTGATCGGTGCAATATTTTGTAAGTTAAGATATGGGGAATGTCAAATGTGTATGTTTTGAAGGTACCATAACTAGCTTATGTTTGGACTCCTATTTTGCATTTTGTGAAACTGACAATAGTTGCTGGATGTTTTTTCATTTCGTTTATTTAGTACCTTTCTGCTCTTGGATTATATTGTTTGTCAAAGAGATGGATTATATGTATTGAACTTTCAACATATTTTGCTTCTTTTCATCTCTACTCAACTAAGTTTGTACAAAGAGGGTTATTGGGAGAGTGAAAATGTAGCAGGTATTTGCTTTATTTTTTCATATAACATCTCTCTAACAAACATTGTTACTTTCATGGATCTTGATATGCTCATGTTCCATAATCTAATATGATCTTATATTACTAAAATATGTACTATGTGTTTTTATTTACCAAACATGACTAAATTTTACATTGGCATAATGTTTTACAAAGTATTTAGACACATAATGAATTCATTAAAGTACTATTTTCGATCTCTTTAATCAAATCAACCTACACTAGGATCACTCATATAAATATGTACTTGAAAAAAATGAAGAAAGGGTTCGAAAAGACAAGGTTAAAAGTGTTGTAAAATGATAAAGTACCCTTTCATACCGAGAGGAATAGCTAGTAACGTAGTACTTGAAGTTCTCCTCGAATTGCTTTTCTAGTCGTTGTATTGGAGGTTGAAGCAAACACATCTTCAGCAATGGTAATTTTGTAAAAAAAGTAATTATCTAAATCAATTTTTTTTTTAAAATTATATTTATTTTATGATGATTATCAATATAAAAAAGATTTTGTGTGATTTGAGGAATTACTTATTGTGAAGAGTTATGTAATTGATCTCTATAAAGCTATTTAACATAAAAAAAAATAGAAATCCTAAAACTTGAATGAGGGAGGAAATCTTCTTTTTTATAGCTAAATCAAGTTTTTTTAATTTATGAGTATTTATTATGCAGATAATCAATATAAAAAAGATTTTATGTGATTTGAGGAATTATTTATTGTGAAGAGTTATTATTGTAATTGATCTCTAATAGAAATATTTAAGGCAAAATTATAGAAATCCTAAAACTTGAATGAGAGAGAAAAAAAGAAAAAGGAAAAAAAAAGAAGGGTGAAAAAATCAGTCGTTCACATAAAAACAAAGCGTGGCTATTATTAAAGGACAAAATAAATATTAAAAATTCAAATAAAAGTGGTCTATTTATAGATTGTCAAGGGCCAGGCTGCTCTGTAACCTAGAAAAGTTTATTTACTACACGTATCTTCTTTAGTCTCTCAATTTCTCCAAAAAATTCAAGTGCAGTTTTTTTTTCTGAAGAGCAGCAGAAAAGGTATTAAGCTATTTTTTCTTTTTGTTTTTGGGTAAAAAAAATACACTATTTCCTCTTACTTCTTCATAGTACTTATTTTTATATTTTTACTTCCCGTTTCTTGATTAATAAATATGTTTAACATGCATGGTTTCAAGAATATGATCTACTGAGTTATGTTCTATGCTCTGCATCTTATTACAATGTACATATTTGTGTTTTTTTTAACACCACACCACAACTAGCCTTATAGTACTTCTAGCCTAGGTTGATCGAGTGTGTGTCAGATCCTTTAAAATAGTGTATTTTTGAAGAATCCGACGCAAGTGCTCCAATATTTTTGGAGAGTCCGAGAAACTTAGCTTCTGGCTAGTTCCATACTTTTAGTATGTATTACTTGAAATTGCAGCCTATTACTTATATGCTGTAAATCCATTCTATAGATTTTACAGTAGCAAATAAGATGTTTCCCCTTCTTGCAAAAAGACTTTTACTTTCACAAAAATAACATTAAGTGATTTTCTTTTCTTATTTTTTATGTTTGGTAAGTAGGCGCGCAGAAAATATTATCTCGAAAGCATGTACATAATCTATTCAAACACTATGGGGTGAGGACGGAGGTAGGGTGTTGGGGATGGGGGCTATGGAGGGTGTGGATGAGGTGTGTTTGGAGGGGAGAAAACAATTAGTGTGGAATGCAATATGTATTTTTTGCGACAATTAGCACTCTTTATATATATATATATATATCTTAAAGCCTTTAACAACATTGAATTTAATGATACGATAAAGACTTTAGCACTCCTCTAAAAGTTGTTCCTCTATTTTTCTGATGGTTGATTTTGCGCCTTTTATTGTATTTCTTTAGCATCATTAATGCCTTTTAGTAGCAGGTTACCTTTATATGTTATAGCAGATTATAGATAATTAGATATCTCTTTTTGAATGACTTGATGAGCCCTTTGGTTTTTGGCAATTTGATTTATCAGTAAGATAAGATGGGCGGATGTGGAACATCAATTGATGGTTGGGAATTTGATAAAACTGAAGCTCGAACACTAGTTTTAATTGGATGCGCTGGAGATGGTAAGAGTTCGACAGGAAATAGCATTGTTGGAAGAAATGTATTCAGGTCGATGCCTCATTCTGCTGGTGTTACATCTACTTGTGAGCATCAAAGAACTAATCTGCCAAATGACCAAATACTACATGTGATTGACACGCCTGGTACGTAGACCAATTTTCCCCTTTTGGGAACTACAATGTGCATACAGGGGAAGTCCCTAATACAGAGTAAATTCTCATAACTAGAGTTACTGATAGTTAATAAGATTGTGGGAATTGCGCGCAGGACTGTTTGATTTTTCAGCTGCTCCAGAAGTTGTTAGGACTGAATTTCTTAGATGCGTTGATTTGGCTGAAGATGGCATCCATGCTGTTCTTTTAGTTCTTTCTGTAAGAAATCGCTTTTCAAAAGAACAACAAGCAGCTGTCCAGAGTTTTCAAGAGTTCTTCGGTGGAAAAATCAGTGACTATATGATTGTGGTATTCACTGGTGGAGATGATCTTGAAGATCATGATGTGACTTTGGATGATTACTTAGGTTCCGACTGCCCTGAGCTGTTGAAGGTAAGATTATGTTACATGTAGAGATTTTATAAAATCATGTCTTTATTGCCTTTTAGAAGATGCATTCATCTATTCAAAGGCTTTTATCTCGATCTATCACAGAATATGTATTATGATTGTTCCGCTGATAAATTATTTGTATTGTCGTTACAGGAAACTCTTGCTATGTGTGAAAATAGGGTAGTGCTTTTTGACAACAAGACTCAAAACCAAATTAAGAGAGCTGAGCAATTAAGAGAGCTTCTTTTCGAAGTTAACTTGGTTGTGGAAGAGAATGATGGAAAGCCTTATACCAACAATTTGTTCAAGAAATTTAAGGTTTTACCTTACTTACAGTTACTAATTTGTTCAATTCCATTTAACATTATTCCTTTTTAACTCGTCAAGTGTCGTTAAAACCTTTGTTATCATCTCCTCGATCTCATTTACAGGAAGGAGCGATGAATTTTCATATCAGAAGGCAAATGTTGAGCAAGACATAAAAGAATTGAAGGACCAAATGCAGAGATCCCATGAGGAGCAATTTAGTCGTATAACTGAAATGGTAATTGTAACCTTGTTATTATTAGATCTCCTTTTGCTTACATTATGTGTGCCTTTTTCGCCTGTTTATGGATCAACAATAACAAAAACACACGCCATAGTCCATATGTGTTGTTCCATTTTATGGACCAATGTTTATGTGTTTGACAGGTAGAATCGAAGCTCGAGGAGAAAATGCAGAGGCTAGAAAAGCAACTAAAGATGGATCGTGCTGCTCGGGTTGCTGCTGAACAAAAGGTTAAAAAAGATCAAAAGAAATCAAAGCATGAGAATCGTAAGCTTGAGAGTTCGATGGTTCTTGACAAAGCATTTTCGTTTCTTTTGTGCTTATGTGTGTTTGTGTTAATTTATTGGTATTTGAAATAGTAGTTAGCGCTTTACTCTCCATTCAACTTTCAACATACTTATAGAACACCAAAATTTTGGCCTGGAGAATTACTTTTGTCATTTCAAACACAATTTGTGTTATAAAATTGATTCAATTTGATCTTGTTCATCTTCTACTCAACTAAGTTTGTATGTCCCAAACACTATGCGGATAGTTTGGTAGCTGATTTGGAGGTGTGTTATGCTGGTATAATTTAATTCTCGCATAAGTAACACTATGTTTGTTAGCATGCTGGGAGGTAAGTTATTGATGGTATGAAATCAATATAGTGTTTGATTTGCAATGTATAAATTCAGTTAACTGATACTTCCTCCATTTCAATTTGTTTGTTTTACTTTTCTTTTTAGTCCATTTAAAAAGGTCTTTTTATACAATTTTGACAAGTTTTTAATTATAACTTTTTACATAACATGATTAAGGCCACAAATTTAATAGACATTTTAGTACATTTGATATATCTCTAGTTTATGACCACAAGATTTGAAAGTGTTTCTTACTTTCTTAAATTCCAGATAAGTTAAAGTAGGGCAATAAATTGAAATAGAGGAAGTACATGTATAAGTTATGAAGAAATTTATTTATCATTTTATGTAGGATAATAAGTGGAATAATAAATACATGAATAATTAAATTTTGGATAAAATAATAAATAAATTGTCTCATAACTAATGTATTTGTTACTAATATCTGCATAATTCTATCTAGCTTTAAAACGACCCGAGTGTTTGGAGAATGATTATCAAAATGTACAAGGTATTAAACTTTCTTTTCACAATAAGGTTCAAGTGTTTAGGGATGTCAGTGGGGAGGGGCGGATGCGGGGTGAGGCGGGTTTAAGGCTATGCGGGCAGAACGGGTGAAAGATTGTGCCGGCGGGCTGTGGGTTTATGTAATTTTGTGTAGGTTTAAACTTAATTTTAATTTTTTACATGTTATAAGAGTGATAGAGCATTATTTATTAAAATAATTTCTCTAAAGCTACTAAAATATTCAAGATTGTAAATGAAAATGGTTCAATAAAAAATAATTTAAATTTTTACATGTTTCTCAATTGACCTCTAAAAATTAAAATTTTAAGTCACTACCCTATTAAATTAATACAACTTAATGAATGAATGAATTTATTTTTATGAATTTTATTTTTAGTATCAAACGTAACTAGAAAAAAAAATATAAAAAAAATCATGCGGAGCAGGTCTATGCGGGGCAGGTTAAAAATGAAAAATGTTATGCGAAATGGATTAAATTTTTTATGGATTAAGCTCAACCCGCACCACCCTATTGTCATCCCAACAAGTGTTACCATATGTTCATATTCTTAATTGTGAAAGTCAACTGCATTAAAGCGATTTGTCTTTATTTATTTGACATATGAAATAAGTTGAAATCTTAAATAAGTTTATTAATCAAGGAATTAAAGTTTGGTAATTTAAATTAATCGTTTGACATTTGTTATTTTAATTTTGGGAGTTAAATATGGTTTTAATGAAAGAATTCAAAAGTTAATTAAGGAATGCAATTATGACCTTTTAGTGAAAAATTAATTATACTAATTTTTAATTTTTTATGATAAAAATACAATCACAAAAGATATATTTTCATCATAGAAAGGTTCATTGACTTATTATTTATGTGGTTACTATTGTTCTTAAGTCAAATATTTACTTTGGAACACCTATCTTAGTAAAGGTTTTTATTGAAGAAAAACGTGAGGCGTAACTTATGTAATCACTATGATATTTAATATCAAAATAATATGATTAATTTGTACGAGTTAGTGTTGAAAGTAGCCATTTTTTTAATGTCATTTATGTAATTACTATGACACATTTTGCCATCATTTAACCATTAAAACTTAAATATTACTCCCTCTGTCAATAATTACTTGTTCACTTTTAAATTGACACACCTATTAAGAAATCAATTATGACATTAGTGAGTTTTACCATTTTACCCCTATTAATTATGAAGTGGATGAAAAGTTTTACATTTTTCAAAGTAATTAGTCATTTATGTAATTACTATGACAAGTTATTAGGGACAACTATAAAAGGAAAAATGGATAAGTAATTCGGGACAGACGAAGTATAATCACTATCACACGTTTTACATTAATTAATAATCACTACTCTATAATTCACTCCATGCAAGAATTTTTCTCTGTATATATATAATTAAAAAAAAGTAGATGTTGGTGCTAAGTGGAAAAATATCATGGTTTGTCACCTTTGTTTCTAAGATTTTTAATGATTTTTTTTGTCAAATCTAATGGTTAAATTAATATCGATCAATTGTTAATAATCGACAAGTCAATATTTTAATGATTCTATAACGATTTATCATGTCTATAAATCGATAACCGATAAGTCAAATTGATAAACTTTAAAATCGAACTAAAACAAACATCGCCTAATTCAAATCATGTAAGGTTAAAAGTTCAAAACAAAACAAAAATATTCGAAGGAGCATCCAACAAAATATCCAAATAAGAACTATAATACTATTCAAATTTATATTTATAAAAAAAATGTACTATATAACATGATTTTTACTAAGAAAGGATGGTTTTGTCATTTGTGTTTTCCCCTTTATATTTTTAGGATGGTAAAGCTCTTTTTTGGTTACTATTTAGAGACAAAAAAGGAACTTCCAAAAAAAAAAAGAGAAGACAAAAAGGAGAAAAAAAGTCTTAAATAACAGCAAATATTTATTTCTACTGATATACCAGAATGGTAAATATTCCCTAAAATAAAAACCAAAATTTGCAGTCAGAATTACCATAGAAATTCACAAACCAAATTTCAACATCACAGAGATAAAAGCAAATCAGAAGTAGAAACTCGAAAATGACAGAAAGAGAAGAAGAAAATAATGAAGCATTGAATTCGTTTGAATATTTTAGTTGTTTTTACAGATTTTTTCTCAACGATCAAATGAATTAAAAACCCCACCTCCCTTCCACTTCCACCTACTGTTACCTCTAAAACGCTGTCGTTTTTCAAGTACACCTGCTACTCCATTTACAGTGCCGATTTTACAGGTTTTCTGCTTCCTCCAGACAAAGTAGTTTCTGGGTCTTGTGGAATTTTGTGGAATTTCAAGCTTTCACTGTCTAGCTTATCTGGGTTTTGTTCAAAATTGGATTTTGAGAAATGGGTAATACTATGTGCATGACGAAGAAGGAGATAAGAGAAGCTGGGAAAAATGGAATTGGGTCGAGGAGTAGGAGGATGGAGAGATCAAAGAGGAGGTCATTATTGGAAGAGGAGTTGCTTCACAGGCAAGCTTTATCTATGGCAATTCAGCAGCATCAGTTGTCTCAAAGATTTGATGGGTCTATTTCTAGGCGTGTCGGATCCACTAGCTCTCGCCGTCGCAATGATTTGACAGACCAGCTTACCAATTCCAAACAGGTAGTAATTATAGTAGAACCCTAATTTTATTTCTATTAATTTAATTATTCTCAGTCCCTTTTCCTTTACTTTATTATATATTCGACTAAGACATTGAATTCTATAATGGGTCTGAGTGGAAAGTTTCTTTGGAGATGCAGAATGCAGAAAAGTTACATCTTTATTATAATGGGTCTGAGTGGAAAGTTTCTTTGGAGATGCAGAATGCAGAAAAGTAACATCTTTATTTATTTTTAGTTTGGTGGTGGATATGAATATGATAGTTTTCTTAAAGATTCGTGATACTGCTGAAGTGCTCCTGAAAAGGAAATAAGTCAAAAGGTACTTTTGTTGCAAAAAAAGTGAAAAGTTTTGATCCCCCTCCCCCTTTTGGCCTTTTCTCCCCATTTGGTTTATTCAGCTAAGATTCATTATTAGACTGTTGATTATAGACTTAAAATACGAGTCTTTTGCTTTTCGGGTTTGGATGAAATATGTTTTGGGAAATTAACAGGGTTGGACGGAAAAGAACAGTAAATAGATCCACCTTTCTCCTTTGTTTATTTTTTTCTTGTTTTTGGTTATTGTGGAATATTGCCAAAGTGATTTTGAATCCCTTATTTAGGCCCTCCCCTTTGTTTGGCGATATCTTGTGGCTGCAATCATATTTGTGGGAAGTATACCTTTGGACTTCTCACTAGCTTTAAGTACTCATGCTTTGGATGTAGAGTGATATAACACGGAAAGGAAGCTATTTGTTTAAATATTTAGCTCAAGCTAAATAACAGAGTGATTGAAAAAGTTTAAATCCATCTAAGTGACTGTTAATTGCCTAATCAGTGGAAGTATTTTGAAAAGAAAGATGTAGAAATTAAAAGGTTGCCGGTAACATGCTACTTAATGAAGAAAAGGAGACACTGGAAATCCAATAACCATTAATATCTTTTTGGCTAACTCTAGAAAATTTTCATGTGGCACTGCAATTACCTTACGAAATTTATGCTGTAAAGTTACCAGAATTTTTGGAGAACATCAAAACAAAGAAAATTGTTTTGATACATGGAGAAGGATTTGGAGCTTGGTGTTGGTACAAAACTATTGCTCTGTTGGAGGAAACAGGATTGGTCCCCACAGCCTTAGATCTCACTGGATCTGGCATTGATTTGACAAATACAAATAATGTTACATCTCTAGAGGCATACTCAAAACCATTAATTATTTATCTGGAGAACTTGCCAGAGGATGAAAAGGTAATATAGATTTGGTTTAAGTTTCAAGTCCTTTTTCGTTTATGAATTCAAGCAAAGTTGTTTCACATATATTCTGGAAACATTATGCATATGCCTCTTTAGGTAATTTTGGTCGGTCACAGTGCTGGAGGTGCTTGTGTTTCCTTTGCCTTAGAGCATTTCCCAACTAAAATTGCAAAAGCAGTATTTCTTTGTGCCACGATGATATCTGATGGTCAGAGGCCTTTTGATGTGTTTGCTGAAGAGGTATGCATCCCTTATTTTCTGTACATTTCATAATAATTACCCAGAATGGTTACCAACCATTTATTGTGACCTTGATTGGGAAACCTGTTGTATTATTTAATAGTTAGCACTTTTTAAACTGCATGTTTAAAAAGTATTTTGTGCAGCAGAAGAGATACTCCCAGTATTTCACGAACATTGTTTATGGTCATGTCTTCAGAAAACACTGTTTTGGTTGTGATGTCATCCTGTATGATATTCCTGTT